ACCTCTCCAAATTCAGTCTCCGCCTCCTCATTTCAGCAATATTACCATCTGTATTCAAGTTTCCCCTCCCTGAGCTTCTGCTGGAAACTTCCTCTAAGCAGTAAGCTAGTTCCATTGCCTTGTTCACTTCTCTCAGGGATTGCAGCCCTGTGCTATCTCTATTGTCCAATGTCCAAAAAACATTGTTTCATATATGTGGTAGTTAAAGTTATGTGTCAACTTGGCTGGGCCTGGTTTTCAGTAGCTGGGCAGCTGGATGTAATATTCCCAATGATGAGACTGGTAATCAACTCCAGCTGAGTAGCTGCTTTAGGGATGTGGTCTGCTTCCTATATATAAACAACTTTGAGGAAGGTCTCCAGCTTTTGGCATGCTTGAATCCTGCATGTAGCTGAGTTGTTGTTCAGCAGTCTGCCATGTTGTCTGCCGATCTTGGGAATCTTAATGGACTTGAATCAATGGCCTGCTGTGTGGTTTGGTAATATCTCCCGACTGTGCCTTTTCACTTGTTGACCTTGGGTTTGTCAGCCTCAGCAGCCAACAACCAGCAGCTGCCTGAGTTAAGAAAGCCTTCAGCTCCAGTGGACCAGGGACAAGAGGCAGAGCTGAAGCCCAAGGTTGAGGGGCTTTCACCCAGACCCTAGAGCCTGGCATTTTGAACTCAGATTTATAGCCTCCCAAACTGTAAGAGGCCCTAGGGGATGGCCTCAGGCCTAAGGCTCTCACCTGCCACACCCAAGGCTGGCAGTTCAAACCCACCAGCTGCTCCCCGCCAGGTAGCCAGGCCCTCTCTTTCTGGGAGCTCTAGTAGCATAGTGCCTAAAGCACTTGACTGCTAACCAGAAGGCTGTTGGTTCAAACCCACCAGCCACTCCTCGGAAGGAAGGTTGGACAATCTACTTCCATAGTGATACTGCCTCAGAAATCCAAGGAGGAGTCGCTATGAGTTGGTCCGACTCAGCGGCACATAACAACAACAAACTGTAAGAGAATGAACTCCTGCTTGTTAAAGCCATTCCATTTACGATTGTAAAATGGTACAATCATTGTGGCAAACAGTATGATGTTTTCTTAAAAAACTGAATATAGAAATACCATTTGCCCCAGCAATTCCATCACTAGGAATATATCCTAAAGAGATGAAAGGCAGAACACAAACAGACATATGCACACCTATGTTCATTGCAGCACAATTCACTATGTCAAAGAGATGGAAACAACCTATGCCCATCGACAGATAAATGGATAACCAAATTATGGTACATTCACAAAATGGAATATTATGCTACACTGAAGAACAATGAAGGGTACATGAATCATCTCATAACATGGATGAGCCTGGAAGACATTATGCTGAGTGAAATAAGTCAACAGCAGAAGGACAAACTTTGTATGAGCCCATTACTGTAGAAAGACAAGGAAGGGTTGCTTAAGGAAGGGAACTCACTCTGTAGGTTACCAGGGTAGAGAGAGAAAGGGAGGGAATAATTTCAGGCTTGTTGGGGGCCACATGCTGAGGTGGGTAAGGAGAAAGATGGTATGGAAAGAGTCTGTGACCACCATGATAACACTGGGGAAAGCGTGGACACCGAATTGTGCACATAAGATATAGACGACAGAGGCTAATACCAGTATATCCACAATACTGCATTACCATTAACACCAGACACCAGCTACAGATAAACACATAGACAACTGAGAAGATCAGATGGGGGTCAGTGAACAAGATTATACTCTAGACCAAGGATAGATTCAGCTTGAGGCTAATCTTACACAGACACCAATGATACAAAATACCCACAATCCTTACAGAAACAACAAAAGACAGACATAGAGTAATCCCTCAAAGACAGCCAGACACTGTGGGAGAGAGATCCAATGGATCTACCAACTCAGGACCATAGTACTGGGGGACACCAGACTCAAATGGCACAATAAAATACATAAAAATCTTGTTCCACAACCTACATTGGTGAGTAGCGACTGGGGTCTTAAAACCTTTCAAGCATCTATCTAAGATGCAACTAATGGTCTCTTATCATCAGAAGTGAAGAAGAGTGGAAAAAACCAAGGGCATTTGGAAGCAATATGCCCTAGGACATGATGGACCTTGAGACCAGAAGAACTAGATGGTGCCCAGCTACCAATGCCAGCCAGTCGGGAAAGGATCAAAACTGGAGATCCTGGATAGAGTGGGAGGAAAAACATGGAACAAAATCCAAAAACACAATAATGACCAGAATTACTGGTCGGATGGAGTCTGTGGTGGGACCCCCCCAATACTATGGCCCTGGGATAAACTTCAGGCCTGGAATAAGACTCACTCCCAGGGGCTGGCTCTCAGCCCAATAGTAAATAAGACATACATCTGACCACTCCACCCAGGGTGATGCACCCACACACTCTATGGTGATGCATCCGTTGGAGCAACCAACCAAGGGGCATGAGAGGGGCAACATTCTCATGGAGGAAGTACAGGACACACAGGAGTGCATAACTATGAAGGGCACAGGTGGGGGAGGGTGTTGCTAGGCGGGGGGGGAGAGTGGATTAGGGTTGGGGATGGTAATTGGGGAGTGAAACGTATACAAAATGTTGAATGTAAAACAAACTCTGCTCTGTAAATTTGCACCTAAAGCACAATTTAAAAAAAAAAAAAAAAAGCCATCCCATTTGTGGTATATTTTCTGTTAGAGCAGAACAAAGTAACCAAAACAATAGATTTCCCCATTTTCTAAGGTAAGAAAATTCCCAGTTCCTATTATGCCATCTGATTGGAAGCAGAGATCCACCTATTTAATTTTAAATCTAAGAATGGCGTCTTTCTCAATGATGTTAATGTTCATGCACACATACAGAGGGTGGATGAAGGACAAGGTAATGAAGGACATCATCTGCAGGAGATATTTTACAGCTCTATAAAACTACTAAGCATGTAATTTCTTGATCCATTTTATGAACACATATCTGAGCAAATACATTTTGCGAAAAGTAGAGCTATTTTTTGCAGCAAGACTGCATGTCTGCAACCCCACAACATTTAAGTCAATGAACCATTTCAAGACCCCCCTTTAGGAAAGAATGTAAGTCTGGCTTTGTTGTCAACCTTTTGTTGATACCTCTAATAAGACCAAGAGATCACCATCATTTAAACTTGCAGAAGCAGTGCTGGCGATGTGGAAGAAAACTGAGAACATGAGTGGACTGCTCTTTTAAGGAATGTTGCAATGCATACTTTTGATGAGAAGTCCTGGTGGTGCAATGGTGAAGCACTGGGCTGCTAACAGAAAGGTTGGTGGTTTGAACCCACTAGCCACTCTGATAATCTGCTTCCACAAAGATTACAGCCTAGGAAATCTGTGGGGCAGTTCTACTCTATCATATAGGGCTGCTTTGAGTCGGAATCGACTTGACAGCACACAACAAAAATATGCTTTTGATGGCACAGAGGATTGATGTTAATTATTCATTTAGCATCATTACTGTGTATCATCTCAGTTCCCCCACTAGAGCTCCATCAGTTGGAAAACTGCTGCTGATGGGTTTTCACTCTCTGAATAACTTCAGGCCTGGCCTTTCAATAAGGACAACGTGCTTTAAGGGAGGCAACCTGAACCTTCATACATGACAGAGCTCTGGGTTGCTCAGAAGGCAGCTCTGTGGAGGAGCATGGCTCTGAATTCCAAAAGAATTCATAGATAGATTTGAGGATTCACGTAATTATTAGTTTGCATTTTGACTTAGACTTCCCTTTGTCATCCCAAGTGTCTAATCATATGTTATAGGTCATTCTGGCTAAAGACAGCTTAAAAATTCCCTTAATAAAGGTCCTTCAAACCACAAAATTTCACTTAATTCCCATTTTCAATATGATTCTCCCATCCTCAAATGTGCCTGGGTCCCCAGAAAATCTTGTTTGACACTCTCCAGACAATAACTCTTTCGCCAGTGTGGGGTTGGGTGCAGTTGTCTAGCAGCTAGTTGTCTAGGAATGGGAAGCCTATTTGCTTAAGCAGTCTTACAACTAGCCCTCCAGTTTTTAGCTCCACCTTCACCACAGTGTCCAGTTCCTGAGCCCTTTGAAGGTTCTGTGATGTACATTGAATTGCTTCTCAACGTTTCCCACTGCTAGTTTAGGGCCTGCCCTTTGCATAGTATGAAAAATCAATTGCCACTTACCCTTCTGCTTTCTTGCTTTCAAGATTTTGTCGTTGTTGTCTACAATCCTTTTGAGTGCATGCATTAAAACAAAACATCTTTGCTATCATTTTAAGGGAGTTTTAGAAAGAAGCAGAGGTGAATACAATTCTTAGGAGGCATGTGTTTTCTTCTCTGGAACCTGGGCTCTGGATAGCGCACTAAGCTCAAAGGGATTTCTTTTAGGGAGAGGACTGCTGGGCCCTACAGCATACAACAGGTTAGGGGCTGAGGTGGAAGGCAGCACTGGACGTTGCAGAGACCACAGTGTTATCAGTAGGACCCCACTCACTTGGGTCACTCTCTCCATTCTGACATCTCCAACAGGGAAGTTGTGGCACTGATCTTTAGTGCATTACTAATGCTTCACGTAATGAAGAATCTGGGCTCCTGGGCAGCTGCTACCTTTCTGCTTCAGGCATTAGAAAGTAGACTATGTAACTTATTCAGACAGTGGACTATATAACCTATTTATATAGTAGATGATATAACTTATTTGCTAACTTATTTGGACTAGATTTCACTCAGGCCAGTGCAAAAGAAAGAGAAGGCCAGAGTCTCTATACCAGTTCTTGGCACAGCCAAAATAAAAAATTCCACTAATTGCTTTCAGAGGTATGCCCTTTTAAAAATGGCATTAACAATTCTTTTATTCATAATTGGTTAATATTTCCCCATAGAAGAGTTTAGGGAAGCTTCTATTTTCCATATATATGTATTTTAAATTATATATATATATAATATATATATATATATATATATATATATATGATTACATTTAATAAGTAATTCAATCTGCTTACCATAATCAGTAACATAAAACTCATACATGGTTTGATTCGTGCCTTTAGGTATTTCTGGTAAGCTTAACTTGGTTTGGTGGCTTCGTAAAAAGGCTTCAAGCTTGTCTCGGTTGTCCAGTTCCAGAAGGGCCCCTAAACTCCACATGAGGCCAAACACAAATAATTTATGAAGATGTTCAGCACATGCAATACCGCCTTCTTCTTTGGATGGTATTAAACCTTCCAGAATAGTGAGAGACTGAAAAATTTTTAAAAGAATAATAAAATTTAAAAGGAGCAAGGAAGAAGAAAAAAAGCAAATATTTGAAAAACAGTTCAAGATACTGCTTGGTTGCTGTCATAGAGTCAACAGCATTTAGAAGAAAGACTAACCTACTTTAGAAGGGCTGTATGATGGAGAAGAAAGGACACTGAACTGGGAATCTGGAAGTGTTTTTCTACCCCCTGTTTTGGGCACTTACCTCTCAGAGCTTCAGTTTTCTTATCCGAAAGGGAAGAAGTCTAGACTAGATATCTTCTTAGGTAGCTCTGGTTGTAAAATTTGATAGTAACAAATGTTGCAGATCAAAGATTTTATTTCTTTTTTTTAACATTTTGAAAGGGCAAGCAAATTATAGCCCCTGAGCCAGCTACTTGTTTCTATCAATAAAGTTTTATTGAAACACAACCACATTCAATTCATTTATGTGTTGTCTTTGGCTGCTTTCATGCTACCACAGCAGAGTTGAGAGGTTGCAACAAAGAGCTGTGCAAAGCCTAAAATATTTACTATCTGAAGCTTTGAGGGCAAGGATTGGGTATAACCCCTATACAGCCGTAGAAAGAAATGTCAACTACAGTAAGACATTCTCTCAGTCTTTGAAACAAGTTAGTTCAGAATAAAATTTTCACTTCTATCATGCCTTTTAAGGTTGATGCAGTGGTTAAGGTACTCAGCTGTCAACCAGAAAGTCATTGGTTCAAACCCACCGGCTGCTTTGCATAACCAAGATGAGGCAGTCTGCTTCCATAAAGATTACAGCCTTGGAAACCCTATGGGAAGGATCTACTCTGTCTTATAGGGTCGCTATGAGTTAGAATCTAGTCACTGGCAATGGGGTTTTTTGGATTATGCCTTCTAAAGTAAATACTAAATAACTTGTTGATTTGGGTCTTATGTATTATTTCTAACCTACTCACACTTACTGACTGACATCTCCTACACTAAAAGAGAATCAAAGCATTGGAGTGGTAATGAGATCACCTATAGACTGGGCTTAGATGAAGAGACCTTAAAAATCTACAATTAAACTGCTGTATGGAAAGTGAATTTGCTCTGTAAACTTTCACTCAAATCACAATTAAAAAAAAAAAAAATCTACAATTAGTTCTGTTGTTTCCAAAGACTGTTATTGTTGTTGTTGTTAGGTGTCATTGAGTCAGCACCGACTCATAACGGAACACTGTCTGGTCCTGTGCCAGCCTCACAATCAAGGACTAGTAAGAGAACCCAAAGACTAGTAAAGAAAATCAAGTTAGGAAGGAAAGAATGCTGAAACCCGCTGCTCAGAAACTGCATAAATGTTTTCCCTATCTGATAGATACTCAACTGGCAAAGCCAAAATTTGTCACCCGAGTTTTCCTGATCACCACAAGCTCCTTTTGCACCTTCCTATAAAACTGCCTGTTTTATTTATTTAATCAATTCTAATTGTTGAACACTGGGACAGATTACTAAGATTGATGGTGGAAAAGTTAGTTTATTCTTCTTCCCTGACAGCACCCCCTGGGAAGTGAAAATAGTAAAGCGATGACAGTAAGATCGCTAATGAGATCCTGAATAGGAATCAAACTCCTCAGAGCTTTTACAGTCACAGCATAAAAATACTCCTGTGACTGCAAGAAGTTCCTACTTTAGAGACCTGTAAACTGCAACTGAGTGAGAAAACAAACAAAAAACCTCCAAATCTAAGTAATAAGTGTACAAAAAAAAAAAAAAAAAAACTTACTTGCACAATATAGTTACACTCTAAGAGCTGCATTTTTGGAGTGAGGTTTAGTTTCATAAATGTATATGCATCTTCAAACACTTTATCATACAGATTTAGGAATGTAGAAGCTTCCTGTGCGGTACGCTTCTTCAACCATGCCTGCAGCGAAAAAAAAAAAAAAATAGAATCTCTGTTTACTAAGAAAGTAAGATACAGGAAGATACAGCATGCTTCTGCTCAGCTCTCATCCTCACCTGTAATATTGGCCTCCAGCTGAGAGCTGAGCTGCTGATGTAGACCATTCCCATCCTTGAAACCGTAGCAGGAGAGGCGTTCTCGATATTGTGGACTTCAAACAAAAGCTTACAGTTAGGGGCCATGGGGATGCGATCTCCGTTAGCTAATGTGAGAGTTTTATTGTCGTCCAGCACAGAATTTAAGTTCTCAATCCAAATGGCATCTACGGGGCCATCTAAAATGAGGAAAACGTTCTCACCTGCAAATTAAAACAGGAACTCACTCTCTTAAAATAAGTTGGCTAAGCAAATATGGTGATATTAATAAATTGGCAGGGTATAAATGGTCACCAGGGAGGGTTCATGGATACCTTTTTTAACTTTTAATGTTTTTCTCCACAGAGTAGAAAAAATCCCATCTGTCCAGTCATTGGTGGCAGTGTCCAGTCTGCCAAACATCTGAGGTGCAGTAATGGCTTTTGGATTCATTCTCATTTCTCTATGAGGCTTTCCACATTCTGTCAGTGCCTTCATCAGAATTGTTATAACGGTTGTCTTCCCAGAACCACTGGGCCCAAGGGTCATCAAGCCATGACGGACCAGAGATGTCTCGTATAACTACACGATTAAACAATACATTGAAAAATGTTAACTTATGAATCTCTTGCTGACATATAACTACACGAGTAAACAATACATTGAAAAATGTAACTTACGAATCTCTTGCTGACATTCACAGAAGTCATTTGCTGAAATTCAGAATGCATTAAACAAGCTGTTCTCCTATGTGCATTAACATAACTAGTCCACTTGTTCACCAGTCTTCATTGCTACATTATTCACAATAGCCAAAAGGGGGAAGCAACTCCAGTGTCCAAACAAAATGTGTTATACATGTACAATAGAATATTATTCAGCCATAAAGAGAAATGAAATTCAGACACATGCTACAACATGTATGAACCTTGAAAATATTATGCCAAGTTAGTTAGACACAAAGGACAAATATTGTATGATCCCATTTATATGAAATATCTAGAACAGATAAATGCATAGAGACAAAGTTATTAGTTATTACCAGGGGTTGGAGGAGGAGGTAATGGAGAGTTATTCCTTAAGGAATACTCAGTGTCCCTTTGGGTGATGAAAACTTTTGGAAGTAGATAGTGATGTGATGGCTGTACAACATTGTGAGTGTAACTAATGATACTGAATCGTACACTTAAAATGGTTAAAATGGTAAATTTTTTGTTACATATATTTTATCATAATAAAATTTTAAATTCAATAGTTTTAAAATATAAGAAAAAGTAAAAAAAAAAAAATGTTGCTTTACTTACTAGATGTGGATAGCAAATTAGCACCACATTATAAAGCAATCTAGATTACAGAGTGATGACAATGTAGAACTTGAATTACATTTGGAAATAATTAATTCAGGATCTAGTTTTGCTTCTCAAACTACTAATCTTTGTGATTTTGGTTTGCTGATTTATAACAAGCAGTTTTTCCATGCAAAAACCGTCTCTGTATCTCATGTGATCACATCGCTCCCTAGTGGTGGCAAGCAGCAACACAAATCAAAACAATGGAGATCCAAGTTTCACATCTATTTTCTGGTTCCAGAAGTAGACTATGAAATGAAGATCCATGTGCAGGTGATTTATTCAGGGACTGCTTCCAGGAGGAAGTGATGAGGGATTGGGGAAAGTGGAACAGGAACGGGAAGAAGCAAGTTGAGATTTGGGGCAAAGTCCTTTGGAGGGGAGGCTTAAGCCTAATGCTGTGGGGGAACTCTGGAGTGTAAGTCACACCTCAGTGTTTGTGCCACCTGGAAGCAGCACTGATCAATCTTTAACTGAGCTGAGAGGTGGGTTTGGGAGTAGAATGGGGAATAAACTCCCAGGCACTTCCTGGTCTTTGTGCCTGGCAACAAAGTGGCTCCAGTACTGAAATAAAATCAAACCCACTGCCATCAAGTCCATTATAACACATGTGGTGGTGGGTGGTCACTGCTGTTGAGTCGGATCCAACTCATAGCGACCCCTCCTTGGGTTTCCAAGGCAGTATCACCACAGAAGTAGATTGCCCAACCTTCCTTCCAAGGAATGGCTGGTGGGTTTGAACCGCCAATCTCTGGCTAGCTGTCAAATGCCTTAGGCACTACACCACCAGAGCTCCTATTGTAACAAACAGCAACCCTATGGGACAGAGCAGAACCTCCTTACAGAGCTTCCTAGGCTGTAAATCTTTATAGGAGCAGACTGCCACATCTTTCTCCACAGAGTGGCTGGCCAAACCATTGACCTTTTGGTTAACAGCTGAGCACTTAACCACTGCACCACCAGGGCTCCTTAGTCCTCCTGACGTGAATGGAAAATGTAAGCTCTGAGAAGGAAAAGCACAGAAGATGGGGAAGGGGCATATGCAAATGGTGAAAAGGATTCAAGGAGACATATGAGAGCATGCATAGTGTTACAATATCCGGGCTATAGTTAAAAAAAAAAAAAAAAAAAAAAAAAACTTACTGTGGTAAAATATATCTAACAAAAATCTGCCATTTCAAACAGTTTTAAGTGTGCAATTCAGTGGCACTAAGTACATTTACCATGTTGTGCAACCCTTACTGCTATCCATTTCCACACAGAAACTCAGTATTCCTTAAGTAATAACTGCCCTTCTCCTCCCTTTTCCCAGGCCATGGTAACTACTAATCAACTTTCTCATATAGGTGGGATCATACAATATTTGCTCTTTTGTGCCTGGTTTAATTCACTAAGCATAAAGCTTTCAAAGTTCATCCATGTGGTAGCAAGTATCAGAACTTCATTTCTCTTCATGGCTGAATAAGGTGGCATAGTGCCTAAGGCATTTCACTGCTAACCAGAAAATTGGTGGTTCAAACCCACCAGCCGCTCCTTAGAAGGAAGGTTGGGCAATCTACTTCTGTTGTGATACCGCCTTGGAAACCCAAGGAGGGGTCACTATGAGTCGGATCTGACTCAATGGCAGTGAGTTTGGTTTTGGTTTTGGTATGGCTAAATGCATTTTGCTATCCATTCACCTGCTGATGGACGCTTGGGTTGCGTCCACGTTTTGGCAACTGCGAATAATGCTGCAATTAATTTTGGTGTACAGGCATCTGTTTTGAGTCTCTGCTTTCAAATCTTTTTGGTATATACCTAGGAATGGAACTGCTAGATCATATAGTAATTATGTTTAACTTTTTGAGGAACTACCATACTCTTTTCCATAGTGACTGCACCATTTTACATTCACATCAGAAATGCACAAGCATTCCAATTTCTCCACATCCTACCCAACACTTGTTAGTTTCTGATGACAGCCATCCTAGTGGGTGGGATGTGGTATTTCATCATTAAGGTTTTGCGTTTCCTTAATGTCTGATTATGTTGAGCATCTTTTTATGGGCCATTTGTATATCTTCTTTGGAGAAATGTCTACTCAAGGCCTTTGCTGATGTTTTTATTTTTAATTATTGTGATTTGGGTGAAAATTTACAGACCAAATTCATTTTCTATACAACAGTTCACATACACTTTGTCTCATGACATTGAGTACAATTTACCCCAATGCAACAGCTCCCCTCCCACTTCCTCTCCATAGTTAACTCTTCCCTGTGTCCATCTCTCCATGCACTCCTGCCCCCTGAGCTGTCTCCCTGTGCATAAACAACCTTCCTATTCTCCCATGATTGTTCTCTCCAAGGAGTGTATCTACCTCATGTAAATGTTCAGCTCATATGCCTGTCTTTTGTTTGGCTGGAAGCCATAGGTGTGGGTTCAATTCCAGACCTGAAGGGCAGCTAGGGGCCATAGTCTCAGGGGTTCCACCAGGCTCTATCAGACCAGCAAACCTGGTCCTTTTTTTTTTTTTTCCCAAATGATTTTGAGATTTGTTCCACATTGTTCTCCTTCTCTATCCAGGATCTCCTACATGGATCCCCCTCCAAGTGGTTGACAGTGGTAGCCAGGCACCATCTAGTTCTGCTATTCTTATAGTCATATAGGCTGCGGGATCACATGGTGTACCAGTCACTAGGACTAATTGTTTCCAGGCATCTTTGGTTTTCTTCATTCTTCTTTGCTCTGGACAAGGAGAGACCCATCATTGCATCTAGATGGCTGCTTGCAAGCTTTTAAGATCCCAGTCACTACTCACCAAAGTAGGAGGTAGAAGATGTTTTGTGTAGTATGTTATGTCAATTGAGCTTGATGTCCCCTGCAACTATGGTCCCGAGCCCACAGGTTCAACTATTTGCTCCTTCTGCCAATTTTTTAGTTGGTTGGTTGGTTGGTTTTAATTGTTAGTTTAATTTGGTTGTTTGTCTTTTTGTTGTGGAGTCATAGGAGTTTTTGTTAAATATATTTTTGGATACTAAATTCTTATCTGATATATGGTTCCCAAATATTTTCTCCCATTCCATACATTGTCTCTGCACTTTCTTGATAAAGTCCTAATAATTGAAGTGTTTAAGAGTTTTATAGTTTTAGTTCTTATATTCAGGTCATTGATTCATTTAAATTTTCATAGATGGTGTGAGTTGTGGGTCCAGCTTCACTGTTTTGAATATAGAAATCCAGCTGTCCCAGCACTATTTGTTAGAGACTATTCCTTCCCCATTTAATGGACTTTCTACTCTTGTTGAAAATCAATTAGCCATAGATATATGGTTTTACGCCTGGATTACAATTTTCTTCATTAAAATTAAGAAGTCAAAGATCTCACAGCTGATTAGAGGTACAATTTAAGTTATTCACCTAACAATTTAGATATAAATGTATTATTACTATAATTATTAAAAGTAATAAAGGCATTGCTGTCACATTATGTTTGTTGAAATGTTATCAGTATCAAAAAAAGAATAAAATATTCTGGTTTCCAACCCATGGAGAGGACTAGGATTTTAGTACTCTCTACACTGTATGTGTATCATATATAAAATATATTTTCTCCCATGTTCTCCTCTGTTTTGTTGTTGTTAGGTTCTGTTGAGTCAGCTATGACTCATAGTGACCCTATGTATGGACAACAGAACGAAACACTGCCTGGTCCTGCACCAGCCTCAATCCTTACTATACTTGAGCCCATTGTTGCAGCCACTGTGCCAATCTATCTCATTGAGGGCCTTTCTCTTTTGCTGACCCTCACTTTACCAAGCATGGTATTCTTCTCCAGGGAATGGTCCCTTCTGACAACATCACCAAAATAGGTAAGATGAAGTCTGGCCATTCTCGCTTCCAAGGAGCATTCTGGCTACAATTCTTCCAGGACAGATTTGTTCATTCTTCTGGCAGTCCATGGTACTTTCAGTATTTTTCGCCAACACCACAACTCAAAAGCACCAACTGTTTTTTGGTCTTCCTTATTCATTGTTCAGCTTTCACATGTGTATGAGGCGACTAAAAATTCCATGGCTTGGATTAGGCACACCTTAGCCTTCAAAGTGACGTCTTTGTTCTTCAACACTTTAAAGAGATTTTTGCAGCTGATTTGCCCAGTGCAATACGACATCTGATTTCTTGACTGCTGGCTTCTACGAGTGTTCATTGAGGATCCCAACAACAAGAAATCCCTGAAAACATCAATCTTTTCTCCATTTATCATGATGCTATTTATTGGTCCAGTTGTGAGAATTTTCATTTTCTTTATGTTGAGGCATAATCCATACTGCAAACTGTAGTCTTTAATCTTCATAAGTAGAAATTTTTAAAAAAGAAGATAAAGGGGCTTCTAATACATGCATGAGGAAAAATGTTTGAACTTTTCCCAAAATATTTCCTTTTAAAATTTAGTTATGTCTCATATACCTTCATATCTGATAAACTGGCAGAAAACCACAAGCCTAGATAAGAATTGTTATTATTCAAATACAGTTTTCAAAACTTTCCCTAATTTTAGCTTCTTAATTTTCCAAAAGTTCTGAAAAACACCCCAAAGCATCAGACCCATATAGATTTAATCATGTAATTAGTAGGTTATCACATGGGTAATTGTTGTTGTTGTTGTTGTTATGTGCCATCGATTGGACCCGACTCATAGAGATCAAGGCAGTATCACTACAGAATTAGATTACCCCATCTTCCTTCTGAGGAGTGCTGGTGGGTTTGAACCGCCAGCCTTCTGGTTAGCAGTCAAGTGCCTTAGACATTATGCTAAAAGCAATGTAAAATGGTATGCAGGCATTATCCTGTCTCCTTGTTTAACTTTAGAAGGGAAGAGAATCATCAGGATCATGAGCATCAGTCCAAGGCTGACTGCCATGAAGCAAAGGTCAGACATACATCCTCTCTGCAAACTTTTTACTAATTCTGACACCAGCCATCCCTCCCACAACACCCTCTACTTCTCTGCTGGGTTCAATAATATGCTGCAATATTCATATAGATCTCACTGATAATAATCAATGATTATGGTGTTTATTAGGTAAGTAACAGGATACAACTTGGGGTCATGATCAACAGGCTACAACTGAGGATCAGGATCAAGAAGCATGTAGGCAGTCTCCCTTTTTTAGTGCAGGGCAGCTCTCTTAGTTCCTCTCAGCCGTGCAGGGCTCCTCTTGGCCCCCCGAGCACAGGCACCTCGTGGCCCCCTCAGGTTAGTCTCTTCTCAGTCCATTCAGGATAGGCCTCCTCTCTCGGCCATAAGCCCTTGACCACACTCAGGCCTGGCCTCTGCCCTCCTTGGGCAAGTGTTACAAAGCTCTTCAGCTCTACCACTCTGTGCCCAGATGCACTCTACTCTGCCAGAAAACCTCCTGCCTGAAAGTACTCAGCTTTCTGACTCCGTAGGCTGGCATGCCCACTGCAGCTGCCTTGCTCCATGGAACAGAAAGCCCATTGCACTATCTTGCACTGGTGTCCTGGTTCTGCTGTCACCATTTCTCTGCTGCTGCTTCTCACTGTCTCACCCTCTCTTCAGTGTTACAGCTCTCTTTTTCTCTCTCTCCTGGTTGAGGAGGTTCTCAGTGGAGGGATCCTGAGTCCAAAGTATGCACTCCACTCTTGGCTCCTCTTTCTTGGTGGTAGTGAGGTCACCTTTTTGCTCTAGGATTAGCTCTCTTTTTAAGCCTAGAAGGATGGCAAAATTGCCCAATCCCCTCATTCGGGTTCCACACATCTTATTGACACAAGAATCTCATACACTTTATTTGCATTATTAGCAGGCCGTCTAATCCCCTTGGTGGGCCACAAACACCTTATTTACATAGTTCCATGTAATCTGGTAGCATAGTGCCTAAGGAACCTGACCGCTAACCAGAAGGCTGACGGTTCAAACCCACCAGCCACTCCTCAGAAGGAAGGTTGGGCAATCTACTTCCATAGTGATACTGCCTTGGAAACCTAAGAAGGGGTCACTATGAGTCAGGTCTGACTCAACGGCACATAACAACAACATGTAATCATTGTGTTGGTGTCACAGGACCATGCATGGCTAGAAGGATCATATTAAGTAATTTGCTATACTACAAGTAATATTATGGACAGAAAGATGCCAAAAGATATAGGAAAACTGTTATAGTAGGTGAGTCAGTAAAACCAGTTGCCATCAAGGCAATTCCAACTCATGGCGACCCCATGTGTGTCAGAGCAGAATTGTGCTCCACAGGTTTTTCAATGGCTCATTTTTCAGAAGTAAATTCCTAGGTCTTTCTTCTGAGATGACTCTGGGGGAACTTGAACCTCCAACTTTTCTATTAGCAGCTGTGCACACTGATCATTTATACCACCAAGGGACTCCACACACAAAGTGGTATGCCTACATTTCAAGGATCCATTCCTTATTAAGGTACCTAGCTGCAACCACTGTCAGATTGGCACAAGAAACCCATTCGGTCTTTCCATCTCCCCAGGTTTTTATAATCTACTATCCCTTTCCTTAGTCTTCAAAAACTAAGGGCTAAGGAACTTTGAAGACTAAGATGTGCCTAACCCAGGGCATGGTATTTTCAATTGCCTCATATACATATGAAAGCTGGACAATGAATAAGGAAGACTGAAAAAGAGTTGATGCCTTTGAATTGTGGTGTTGGTCAAAGAATATTGAAAGTACCACGGACTACCAGAAGCAAGAACAAATCTGTCCTAGAAGAAGTATAGCTGGAATGCTCCTTGGAAACGAGAATGGTCACACTTTGTCTCACCTACTTTGATCATGTTGTCAGAAGGGACCATTTCCTGGAGAACGGTATCAAAGCAGAGGGTCAGTTAATAAGAGGAAGACCCTCAACGAGATGGATTGACACAGTAGCTTCAATAATGGGCTCAAGCATGACAACGATTGTGAGGATGGCACAGGACCAGGCAGTGTTTCATTCTGTTGTGCACAGGGTTGCAGTGAGCTGGAGTCGACTTGACAGCACCTAACAATAACAATCTCTTTCCAGTTGTTTAATACTATAGGCTACATCTAAACTTCTCACTACAAGTAACAATGCCAGTAAACTGCTGCTTGGTTACTGTGAACCAAAAAAAAAAAAAACAAACTCACTGCTGTGGAGTCAGATCTGACCCATAGTGACCCCTCCTTGGGTTTCCAAGGCGGTATCACTATGGAAGTAAATCGCCCAATCTTCCTTTCAAGGAGTGGCTGGTGGGTTTGAACCACTAGCCTTCTGGTTAGCAGTCAAATGCCTTAGGCACTATGCCACCAGAGCTCCCTGGTTACTGTGAGGCAGGGTAAATATATACCATCCTTTTGGGATCAACACATCCCTCTGAGGACTCTTTTTGCAAGTGTGTGTGTGTGTGTGTGTGTGATTTTTATTTAGTTTCACCATTTACATCAAGTAAGGAGCTCTGGTAGCATAGTGCCTAAGGCATTTGATTGCTCACCAGAAGGCTGGTGGTTCAAGCCCACCAGCCACTCCTCGGAAGGAAGGTGGGGCAATCCTACTTCCGTAGTGATACTGCCTCGGAAACCCAAGGAGGGGTCGCTATGAGTCGGGGCCGACTTGACGGCAAACAACAACAACAACAACAAGGCTAATATCACGATTTCTTCTGCTCAAATGGTGATCTTTAACAGCACACACTGATTGTTATATTGACAATAGATTGACATTTCTTCACCTGCACAAGTTTGAGATTCCAGGGTGGATGGTTAATCAAACCTTCTTCTGCCACCTGGTTGGCTACTGCAGCTTGCAGTTCCACATAAGTACTACTATCCAGTTGTAATCCTGGAAACAGGTCATTAATTAAGCTGAGAAACAGGGGTTCATCTTCATCAACCTAAAATGTCATAGATTGAAGTAAATTTACTCATATAGTGAACAGCTGTTGATTGACTTGCTAGTATGCAAATAGCACTCAGGGCCAGATTATCATTTGTTCCTCTCATAATTGGACCTATATCTTCTAGAAATTTCTCCTGAATACCACCAATTAATCCACATTACCTACAGCACTGTAGCCAAAATTCTGTAGCATTTAAAATTGTCTACAATCTAGCCTCTACTGCTCCAAGGTTCGATCTCATTGCTTTATCATACGAATACTCTGCTTCTCACAGATACACTCGTTAACCCTAAAAATGTGCACTCTACAGTCACAATTCTATGAGAGTAGAATATTACTATTTCACTTAAATTAGGAAAATATCCATAACCCTGCATGACTGGTTCATTCCACATTGGCTAGAAAACTTCATTAGTGTTCTGCTTTCGTATCAGCAGTAAACAATGTCATTAAGACATAAATCACCCCATTGCCAACTGCTGGCTGTTTCTTGACTTCTCCCTATTCTTCAGGTCTCCCCTGATACTTTCTGGAATTCTTGTCTAGGAGTTTCAAGAATACCATTATCTAAGGAAGGCAGTGAGGCTTGCTAGAAGGAGAGGAAGATTTAGCATTAGAAACTCTTGTGGGCTTTTGTTCCAGTTTCTCAACTGACTGTGCGGATAGTGTGTGAGTCCCCCAATCTCTCTGAATTTCAGCTCCTCCATGAGTAAAGAAGACATACTCGTACCAGCCATCCATATCCCGTAGAGTTGCTGTGAGGCTCATATAAGACATGGAAAGGTTTTCAAATAGTAATGAACTTCACAGATGTTCATTGCTTGTTGTTGTAACTGAAATGTGAGTTTCATAAGAACTATTACTTCCTCAACCTTTTACCCCTGGGGCAGGGACAAAATATGTAGCACATGGAAGCCCTTGAATAAGTATCACATGAACTGGTCCATCACCTAGTTCCAAACAGCCTGGCTGTAATTGTGACAATCATGAAAGCAGTGAAATAACTATTGTTAATTTCCACAGCAAACTTCCAGTGCATTTTTGGAAAATAGTAATGGTATTGATATTTTGAGAGAGATATATCTGAAATAAGCTAATCATATATAGAGAAAACACACAGTTCTCAAGTTTCCCTATGAGTCCATATTTTAAATTAAGAATTTCTGTTACATTAAGAATAGTGGTTAGTGGCTCATGGTTAAGCACTTTGCTGCTAACCAGAAGGTTGGCAGTTCAAACCCACCCAGCACCTCCATGGAAGAAAGACCTGGCAATCTGCTCCTATAAAGATTATAGCCTGGAAAACCCTATGGGATAGTTCTACTCTGTCACACGGGGTCACTATGAGTCGAAACTAACTTGAAGGCACCTAACAACAACAGAAGTATGAATAACAGTAGAGGACTGGACTAAAAGTCTGAAGTTGAAGTCTGCTGATGAAGCTTGTTTTCTGCATACCACTGACAAGAGGATGTACTTTCTGTTGGCCCAACCAGTCATCCAGGGTCACGGGTTTTCTACCTTCTTGCTGGAAGCATAGAGGTAGTTTGGCACACTCATCATATTTGCAATTATTAGTGCTTCAGCTCAACATGAGTCAGTCCCCACTCATCAACCTAGTAGAAATAGATCAGGTCAAATTCTTGGAAGATAAGTGAATCTGGAGAAGAAAGATACCAGTTTAGAAAGGTTCATGTCTCTTAGCCCTCTCATGACAGTGCTTAATTCACTATCTTCTGGTCTGGCTCTCTTTTGAGCTCCAAGTGTCCTCAACACAGACAGGATATTTCTCAACCCAAAGTCATAATGAACCTAAAAGGGGAAAAGAAGGAAAAAACACTATTTAATTGCAATACTCTAAAAGTAGACACACTATATACATGTAAGTAAACACTCTGAAATTTAAATACAGTAATTCTAGAATGGCTGGCTGCTGCAATATTATATTTGCTCAATTATCTCTCTTTTCCGTTGACTGAAAAATGTCTATTCCATCAGAAAGACCAAGCTGTCAGACATAGTGTTCACACTTGACATATCCTCTTAAGACAAATACAGTCTAAGTGACATGCATAACCAATAGGTAGGATACATTATGATTCCATTTATATAATATTATGGAAATAACAAAATTACAGAGATGGAGAAAAGATGAGTGATTTCAAGGCATTAAGGATTTGGGAAAGAGGTGGCTATAAAGGGTGATTATGGGGGAGCATTGTGATGATGGACTAGATTTGTATCTTTATTGTGGCAGTGGTTACATGAATCTACACAAAAGACAAAACTGCATAGTGCTCAGAACTACACACACATATAACTGAGTGCATGTAAAAACTCCAAGCATGCACACATGTTCCATCGAGTCATCTCTGACTCATGGTGACTCCATGTGTGTCAGGGTAGAACTTTACCCCACAGGGTTTTCAGTGGCTGATTTTTCAGAGATAGATCTCCAGCCTTTCTTCCAAGGTACCTCTGAGTGGACTCAAACCTCCAACCTTTCTGTTAGCAGCCAAGCTAACGTTAACCCTTTACACCACCCAGGTAACAGGTGAAATTGGAATAAACTGCTGATTGCATCAATGTCAATTTTCTGGTTTTGTTATTATACTACATACATAAGATGTTAACATTGAAGGAGGCGGGATAAATGTGCACATAACCTCTCTGTATATTTCTTTGCAACCTCCTGTGACTCAATAATGATTTAAATATAAGGATTTTTAAAAAATGAATAACCAATAGGTCAAACTAACTATAAATATATTTTAGAAAAGAGTTGATAAGCTTTTTATTCACTGACTAGTATTTCACATGGCAAAACTGCAAAATTAATTTAAAAGTTTTATAGCAAGGGGAAAAATAGATACACAAAGTTACCTGTTTAGTGAGTTGCTCTTCACAGAGTTTGTAAAGAACATAAAATTTCTGAGCCAAGATTACATTCTCAAGAAAACCACAGCTTGCAAGTTTAACTCGCATGATGATCTGAAAATTAATATAGTGATATCTGTCAACAACTGTAGTGGAAAAAGGTAAATCCTGTGCGCTCTATGATGCTTTTAAGTTCTGGGACATACCTGTCTATCAGGAACCATCATAGCAACAGTTCTAAACTGAATTTTTAAGTTTTCTGGCAGTTCCTGGCGCCCAGCATATCCAGGGTTCTGAAAGTTAAAATATTTTTAATTTTTAATTGTTGGTATAATTTGCATTGCATGAATACAAATAAATACATTTCAAATTCCTAGTGCAGGTTCTAAGGTGATTTTGAAAAATATGAGGTTCATAAAATGTCCTTCTTTTCTCAAAACTGTGTATGGGGCCACTCATATCTGCTAGTTAGATCACTCTCTTTCACATGTTTCCATTCTCATTATACTAATAAAGTCACACATACACACTTTGTGTAGCAAAAATTAATCATTTGTGTGTTTACTTGTTAAAAAAAAAAGAGAAAGTAAAAGAACAGGAAACTGAATAAACACTTGGATAATTATAATCTAAATATGTAACTGAAAGAGGGGGAAAAATCAGGGTTTTATACTGATCAGCTTACTGAAGTAATGTTTTCTTTCATCTCTTCAATCGTTCTTTGCTGTCATTGTTACAGTGTTTTTTTGGCTGACAAAGCACAATTAAAAAATAAAGCAAAACTGTAGGATGAGGGAAAATAAAGAATGGAATGAAGACAAAAAAATAGAGAGAGAGAAAGGACAAAAAAGGAGGTAGAAGGGAAGCTGAGGTCTCATAAGCAGCAACAGGTTAGGCTAGGTCAGACTCAAAGTCCCAAAGGAAAGGGTGGCAGTTCAAAGGCCAGTAAGACAAACCAAAAAACCAAAACCAAACTCACTGCCATCGAGTCGGACCCCTCCTTGGGTTTCCGAGGCGGTATCACTATGGAAGTAGGTAGCCCAACCTTCCTTCTGAGGAGTGGCTGGTGGATTTGAACCACCAGCCTTCTGGTTAGCAGTCAAATGCCTTAGGCACTATGTCACCAGAGCTCAGTTATTCGGGGAAATACTTTAAGAAACTTTCAATCCCTCAACATTTACTGTGCACTTTCAACAGAACAGATGCCTTGCTAGGTGCTGGGAATACAGAGGTTGCTGGTTGTCTCCCAGTATTTCTCTTCTCCTTCCTTGGTCACAGAATCCCAGTTGCAAGCTTGGCACAGTGAAACCTGTGAGAGTCACAAGGTGATGACACATCTTTGCTTGAGTCTTTACCACTTTTCTGTCATTCTCTATGAGTGGGAAATATCTGAGTTTTCCTTCTCTGACAGGTTTCCGCCTTACACAGGTTCTGGCTTTCACAGGTTTTACTGTACATCACTGTCCAGATTAAAAATTACACTGCCCAACCTGCCTTGCAGCTGGCATGATTAAATTCTACACAGTGAGCTACAAAAGGGCAGACTGGTGAAACACCCCTGATGTTTGTGGTAAGGCAGTTGATTTCATCAATTGGCTGTCACAAAATAAGGATGCTTCTGTGGCATCTTGAGTCATGCGGTGACCTTAAGGACAGAAAACATTTATTCTTAAGAGAATAAATCCTCGTGTGTTAAGCCACTGTTTTTCATGTCTCTAACTCATAGCCTAAAGCAATTATCTAATTGGTGTTTCCAGTATTATCCCTAATCCAGAGAGAATGTTAAGCTTCTTTTAACATTTTCTAGGTCATAGTTTCACACTGAGTACACTTCTTCATCTCGTTCCCAGAGTTATCATTGATGACTGCTGAATTCTTATTGTTTCCTAAGCCTGCTTTACTGAATGTTTGCTTATCAGAAACTTTTCTGATTTTCCTGTCTGCACTTTATTTTTGTCTCCTGGCATATTTACAGCTCAGAGTATTTTGTGTTACCTTGTAATGTAATGATTTGACTGTATAAAGGAATGTTTATTACAAAAAAAAAAAATTAAACAAAACTGGCTCAGTATTCACTTCTCTAATTCACAGAAACTCCTTCCTAACACTGTATCTCAAAGCTCTGCCCTCAGTCATATGGTACCTGAACTTGTTACAATTCTTTGGTGTGGGCTGTTGTTAAATTATTTTGAAATGTTTTAGCCATTTTCATCACTGTTTTATTAAGTATCAGACAAAAGCAAAGTTTCAAGGTTAAGCAGTCAGGTTTTAATGTCACATAGATAACAAGTTCTGCCTCTTACTGGCTGTGTGACTGGAGCCAGTTATTAAATCTCCCTCAGCCTCATGTACCTCAAGCTATAAAACAGAGATGAAAATATCCACCTCAGATGGCTATCGTAGCTATGAGATATGAGATAATGAAATGAGATAATGTACAAGTGGTAGTCGTTACTGTTACTGACCAAATACTTTAGGTTCTTCCCCCTTCCAGGTACATGAAAGGACTGTGCCCCCTACCCTCTAGAAGTTATCTGTGCTCACGTCACTTGCTTTTGTCAATGATTTGTGACCTGTGTCATTTCTAGGCAGAAACAGAGAGAGCATAATTCCTCATGCTCTCTTTTTCCTTTGCTACGACAACTAGCAGTAATTGAGATAGTAGCTACCTTGTCAACCAGAATACCAGAGTAAGACACACAGAGCAGACCTTCCTTTCTCTGACCCTGCCACTCTGGTCAACCCACAATGGACATGTAGCATGAAGGAGAAATAAATAAAAGTGGTTTTAAGCCACTAAGGTTTGGGGGTTGTTTGTAACTTCAACATAGCATGAGCTATCCTATCTAATACAGTTCATAAAACATTTGGCCCAGTACCTTATCCATGTTGTTAGTTGCCATGGATTCAGTTCTGACCCATGGCGACTCTATGTGTGCAGACTAGACCTGCACTAATGAAGTTTCAAGGTTCTGATCTTTCAGAAGCAGATCAACAGGCCTGTCTTCTGCAGTGCCTCTGGTTGGGTTCGAACTGCCAAGATTTCAGCTAGTAGTCAAGTGGTTAACAATTTTCACTGCCCAAGGACTCCTCTATACAGAATAACTGCTCAATAAACAGTAGCTATAGTTATTACTAGGAGCTCTGGTGGCATAGTGTCTAAGGCATCTGACTGCTAACCAGAAGGCTGGTGGTTCAAACCCACCAGTCACTCCAAGGAAGGAAGGTTGGGCAATCTACTTCCATAGAGACACTGCCTCAGAAACCCAAGGAGGGGTCACTATGAGTCTGATTTGACTCGATGGCAGTGGGTTTGGTTTGGTTTTTTGGTATAGTTATTACCAATATATTACTATTTTATCTTTTGTGGGGGCCATTTTTATTACTAAAAAAAAAAAGAAAAGAAAAACCGTACAATAAAAGAGCTCATGACCCCTGAATAGTCAGTCATTTACCAACTAATATACGTTTCCTTTTATTTAAGTCTAACAATTAAGCTAATCAAATTGCATTTAAAGCCTGTGTTCTCACCATTGTTAAGAAGATTCCAAATTCTGGATTTAAATCAACACAATCACCATCGGAAAAAATGAATTGTTTTTTCCTCTCTTTTCTTGCTGTCAAAACAATATATATTTGTTGGGCTGCCACTGATAACACAGGCAATTCAATTCTGTTAAACTCATCAAAACAGCCCCAGGAACCTGATTGTGCAAGACCTGGAATGAAAAACACTTCATTTGTAAAGTTTTATTTTATAATATACCTTCTTTATAATATTTCTTTTCCCAGAAATATATATATATATATATATATATATATATATATATATATATATATATATATATATACACACACACACACACATATAAATATATTGAAACATGATTTATATAAAGTTTCATATCTGGTTGTTTATGAAGACATGTTTTATTCCAGTATAAAGAGAAGTGTAATTATTTGTATATTATCACCAAAACAATGAAAGTAGTACACTACTAAAATGAAAGCATAGATAGGTCATTGCACCCAGGGACGCTGATGGATGACCAAACCTGGCCCAGTTTGGAAGTGCCAGCCTCCAATGGAGAGGGGATGGAAGGAGTATGATAAGGAATATACTCCCTAAGTTTTTGGGAAACAACAAAATAAGGGAAGCACATTTCTGGGTCAGATTGCTCATTCTTCTTCTTTTATTGCTATTACAAAAATATTTCTGGAGGCTAAGTGAGAATAGCCAAAAAGTTTTGTGGGTTTTTTTTTTTCCTTTCTTTTTTCACTTTTTAAAAAACAGACTATCTTTCCACACAGTTTTTAGGTTTATAGAAAAACTGCAGAAAATACAGAAGGATCCCATTGACTCCCTCCACCCTGCACATTGTTTCTCCTGTTAGCATCTTGCACTCCTATGGTACATTTATTACAACTGATGAACCAAAGTTCATACACTGTTATTAACTAAGTTCACATTAAGCAAAAGGGTTTTTATGCATTTCTTACAAAACCTAGCACAAAGCAAGACCTGGATATCATGAATGTTGCTCCCATCCCCAAGAATGAAAACCTTTGTTATATTTAGCTATGTGAAATGCTCTTTCCTTTTATTATTTCTCCCTTCAATATGTCCTTTCTCTCCTTTGGGAATTCCATTATTCAGATGTTGAAACTCATGTATCTATCCCTATGACTCCTAAATTTTTTGGTCAAATTCCATCTTTTTGTCTTTTTGCAATGTATTCTCTTAGCTAGATACTCCAACTCAAAAGGTTTGTTTATTTTCATTTACATTTTCAATTTCCAACAACTTACTTCAATTATTTTTTCATAGCAGCTATGTTGTTGTTAAATAGGTGTTTATAATAAATTCTTGAATCTCTCGATAACTATTAATTTTATTTATTTTAACATTCCCTTCTGTTTTCTCTATTAATTTAATTTAGTGGGTAGTAGGTCTCTTTGCTGCATTGGGTGCCTGTCTACTTTTCAAATATCTTATGAGTCTGTGTTATCTCTGCCTAATGGTTTTTCTGCCTAATGGTTTTTAAGTGTGTATTTCCTCAGCCAGTTTCTGTTTTCAGAATGAATGCTTGTCTCTGGTGACTTGACGTAAGGAATGGGATAGGCAGGAGGATGATTCAAAGGTTTTTGTCTGAACATTTGGAAGAATGAGTGGTCCTTTACTAAGATGGGGAAGGCTGAGGAAAGAATAGACATGGAGAATATAGTAGGAGAGATCAGGAGTTTGATTTTGGATCAACAGAATTTAGACCTAGTGGGTTTGAACTGCCAGCCTTCTGGCTAGCAGTCAAATGCCTTAGGCACAATGCCACCAGAGCTCCCCTTTTTCGTTGTTGTTTTTTGGTATACGAGTAAGAGTCAACTTGAGGACACACTCCAACAACAAAAGATATTTAAGAACAAGCCCAGGTTGCACATTGGTTAATGGCTCAGCTGCTAACTGGAAAGTTGGCCATTCAAACCCACCTCACAGCTCCATGGGAGAAAGACCTGGTGATCTGCTCCTGTAATTAATTAAAAAAACAAACAAACAAACAAACAAAAAACACTGCTGTCAAGTCGGATTCAACTCATAGTGACCTCTCCTTGAGTTTCTGAGGCAGTATCACTACGGAAGTAGATTGCCCCATCTTCCTTCCGAGGAGCTGCTGGTGGGTTTGAACCCCCAGCCTTCTGGTTAGCAGTCAAATGCCTTAGGCACTAAGCCACCAGAGCTCCTCTGTAATGAATACAGCCTAGAAAACCTATGGTACAGTTCTACTCTGTCACATTGGGTGGCAATGAGTTGAAAACCTACTTCATGGCACCTAGTAAACACAAGAACAGACATGTAAGTAGAGATGTCAGCAGGAGATGTTTGGAGTTTCAAGAAGTCCAAACTAGAAATATAAATTTGGCAGTCATCACATAGATGATATTTAAAGCTTGGGTCTGTGTGATATCACCAAGAGAATGAGAGCAGATAGAAAAGAGAAGACAAGCAAGGACTGAGCTCTAGGATGGAATGTTCTATGGTCTTTTTTCTCTATTCAGGATTTTCTCAAAATTTCCCATCTACTTTTGGCTCCCTTTCTTGATTTCTATGTCTGTGTTTTTTAAAAATCCTGCATTTCAGAGCTATCTATAAGTGATCTAACTGTACCTTAGGGGGCAGTGACTTTACATTAACGAGGGAGGAACAACTCAGGAAAGGAGGGTGAGAATAGTGGCACAATTTGAAGAACTTAGTCAATGTCACTAAATAGTAGTAGTTTCTGCCCATTGTTCTGCCTGCCTGAGCAGCAGGAGTAGAAACTTGAATTGGTGTGTGTTTTATTGTATACAGTCTCAAAAACTAAATAATAAAACTAAATAATAAAAATATATTTTAAAAATCCTTCATTTCAGTGGGCTTAAGGTAGGAAGGGAAGTTGCATGAGTGATCAGTTTTGTCTTTATTTTATTTCCTCCTCTATTGTTTCAGGCAATAAACTGTTTTATAATCCAGTCCATAGCCAATGAATGGAATATAACATCAGCAATAGTACTGAAACATATAAAATTGATGATATTCAACTGTATTTGACCTAGAAAGACAGCTATACCATATGGATCAGCCTATACTAATGTTGACTATCTGAAACACTTTGACTATGGATTTATATCAGAAAATAATGTTGAAGTGCAATAAAAATAAATTCAGCAAAGGGGGTGATGGTGGGCACTAGTGAAGATTCACAAGCACTCTTTGGAGCTGGTGTCCATGGGGCGCTGGAGGCCTGGTCAGCCTTACATATCATTGTTGAGAATGGCTTTGGAGCATACATAACAAGGAGAAGGCCAAGTGGCTGGGGGCAGGGAGGGGGTGGTGGAAGAGTACTTCATCCACAGTGCTGACTTGGAGCTAGATGAGGTGGAGGACTTCCTCAGGGAGCTCATGACCAAAGAGTCTAATATAGTTGTGGAGGATGGGAGTCTGCCCCAGGTGAGCCAGCAGCTGCAGACCATGTTTCACCACTTCCAGAGGGGTGATGGTGCTGCTCTGAAGGAGACGGCCTCTCACATCACCCAAAGAAAGTACAGGGTCACAGCTACTGCACTTATGACAGCCATAGAAACTGATGAAGATGAGGATGAGGATGATGCAGACAGCACAGAGGAGATGGAGGTCACAGCTGTGAATGATGGGGCAGCTATAGATGGGGCCTGCCTCTAGGCTAAACCCTCTGGCCCAGACTCTCAAACCATTAAGGAAGAAGATATAGTGGAGGATAGCTGGACCATTGTCCAGAGAAAGAAATGAGTGGGGCTGGAAATGGTTTGGGCGGTTGTTTTGAGACTCGTTCTAATGGGCTTTTTTTGGAGGACTGTGGACTTCTTAACTGGCTACCCTCTCTACCCTCTCCCTTGCTCAGTTCCTTCCACAGGCAGAAAACCCCTAGGGTTCTTGGTTGTAGAAGTGATGGGATGTGGTCCACGGTACCTCCCAGGATCTTAAGTTGCTACCTGAGTTTTGAGGCCAGGTTTCTCAGCACAGTGTCTGTTGGGTATAGTCAGTGTGGAAAAGAGAGAGATGAGTGAGTCAAGGATGTGGATGGAGGAATAGCTAGACACTGGTTGATTGTGCAAGTGGATTTGTGAAGGGAGAAGACTAGCAAGGGAACCAATACTCAGTGCTAGGGGGCTGGCTGAGTCAAGAATGGTGAAATGAACACACAAATGGAAGTGTAGTTGAAGATGTGAATGAAAGTACAGCTATGTGTTGCTTAATGTCCATTCGGGTAATGTCTGATTGCATATAGGCCCATGGTCCATAAGGTTTTGTTTGTTCGTTTTAAAAGAGAAAATGGCTTTCTTTTTGTTTATTATTTACCTTTGATTGTTTTAAAGAGCTCAAATCCATATTCTTGCAACACTGGACCACAGGTAGGATACAAGCAGGTGAGGCAGAGGACAAGGCTCTGGGTATGGGCTTTCAGGTGTTGTCTGGCAGCTATGGCTGCTGTAGGGCCTGGGTTACTCCTACTGCCCAGGCAGGCAGAACAATGGGCAGGGCTAGTCATGTTTCATTCCCTCCCCACAAGGCATAAATGAAAAAAATTAAAATAAAAAATTCACCAAAAATAATTTAACATCGTTTTGTACTTGCCTTTAAAAATCCGCCCTAGGCCTCTGAAATCCATTTGGTCTGAGCAGTTGAACACAACCACATATTTTCCCAAACACCTTCCCATATCTTTTGTGGTTTCTGTTTTGCCGGTGCCTGCAGGTCCTGCTGGGGCACCACCCATGTTCATTCCCAAAGCCTGTGCTAAAGTGATATAACATCTGTAAATGTCAATCCGATAAAGTATTATTAATACAGGATAATCCATACCAGAGTAAAGCACAAGCAAAAGCCCAGGAATAACAGGAATGGGCCTGTTTATTTTCATATTTGCATAATCCACATGAAAGAGACAAAGCTAGGTAAAAACCAAAACCAAACCCACCACCATCTAATCAATTCTGACTCATACTTGATATTTATTAGAAGTAATACAGTGATTCCAAAAATTACTTGGTGCAAACTTCTAAACTCCTCAACCCTGATTTACAATCCTTGGGCTTTCTTCCCCATTGTGGTCAGCATAAAGTCCAAAATCAGAGAACAAAATATACAGTGACATCCTGGTTTAATCACTGGCTCTTAGGGTGGAGGGAGTACTGATATGTACTCTTGCCAATTTCCACAAATATTTCCACTATGGCCAGGGGCAAGCTATCAACATGATATCACTGCATCCAGAATTGGGAGGAGATGCACAGAGAGCAGTTCATTGCAGATAAGTTTTTTACTATGAAATGTTTCACTTATTTAGAAAAGTAGAAAATAACACAATGAATCTTCTCGTATCCATGATTCAGCTTCTGTTATATTTGGTTCATACCTAAGTAAAATTTAGTAAAGATCTTAGTAAAACTTAGTGAGACATGAAATTTAATGTGTAAACACTGTTGGAAGAGAAAGCATATTGACAAATTTATGCTGCATTGGCACTAGACATCTAAAGGGAGAGGCTGCATGAATAAAGAGGAAGCTAAAGATGTCATTTGAATGCATCGTAATTTTACTTGAAGGCATCCCTATTGAAGGTAATGGCAGGATTAAACATTCTACAACACAAATTAATCCAATTTTAGAAATATTTATTGTGCATCTTCTATGTACAGTGTGTTGAACTGGGTGCTGTAGGATGTAACTACTAACCAGTTGACATCAAGTCTACTCAAAGTGATAACCTGAATGTCAGAACAGAACTGTGCTCCATAAAGTTTTCAACGGCTGCTTTTTTGGAAGTAGATTACCACCTTTCTTCTGAGGCATCTCTGGGTAGACTCAAACCTTCAACCTTTTGGTAGCAGTCTAGCACATTAACCATTTAACCACTCAAGGACTCCTGTCATGGGATATACCAAACCAAACCCAACTCACTACCATGGAGCTAATTCTGACTCATAGTGACCCTATAGCTTGTGGGTTACAGGAAGATGAAAAAGGCCCAGTTATTGCCCAGTGTGATATACTGGGAAGACCTGTGGGAGGATCTTCCATTGACTTGCTAGTCAGACTTGGCCACAAAACTTCACTTTAGGGCATCTATATCCTCATTTGAAAAACTCTCAAGCTCACTGTCATTGAGTCAATTCCAACTCATAGTGACCCCTATTGGGTTTCCAAGGCAGTAAATCTTTACAGAAGTAGATTGTCCCATCTTCTTCCACAGGGTGGCTGGTGGGTTTGAACTTCCAACCTTCTGTCTTCAAATGTCTTAGGCACAGCACCACCAGATCTCCTCTGTTGTTGTTGTCGTTGTTATGTGCCATTGAGTCAGCCCCGACTCATAGTGACCCCTTCTTGGGTTTCCAAGGCAGTATCACTACAGAAGTGGATTGTCCAACCTTCCTTCCAAGGAGTGGAGACTAAATTAGATCTCCAAAGTTCCTTCCTTTTTTGCAACTCTAAAGACTTGCTTTATGGTTCCATGGATATTGTTCCACTTGGAAACTAAGATTCATTATTAATTATTCAGAGTCACATACATGTTTGCTCTCATTCTTACATATTTTTCTACTTCATAAAATTTTGATGTATACGTATGACAGCTAGTTATTTCATTAGGAGCTCTGGTAGCATAGTGCCTAAGGCACTTGACTGCTAACCAGAAGGCTGTGAGTCGGGGCCAACTCGACAGCAAATAACAACAACAACAACAACAAGTTATTTCATTGTTAGACTGACTTTGATGAGATAGTATATTCTTTTGCTAATATTTTAATGCAAATTTAGAATGCTGTAAACACCTTAATTAATTACAAAATGAAACAACAAAAATTACATTCTTACCTATCTGTTAATGGAGTGATAACAAGACGATCAGTGCATCCCAGAAATTCATTTTGGTAAACAAAATCAACATTTGTAATAGATACCACAGTTTGATCCAAATCTTCCTTAAAATAAAATCTACTCTGTTTTAGCCATTCAAAATCAGTGATTGATTTGATATGCATTTTTACCTTAAAAATATAAAATACAAAAAGTTACATATACTTCAACTGCAATAGCATTAAAACATAAACATACAGGTAGTTTTTATTCACTCATTTACTAAGAATGATCTTTGTTCATGTAAAAAATAACAAACTTTTATTAAGTCCCACTTTGTGCTTCACAGTGTGCTGGGTGAACAAGAAAAGCATGGTTCCTGCCTTCTAGAGTTTACAGAAATGCACAAAAGACAACAGTTAAATAAGTAATTGCAATGGTGGGGGAAAAGCACTACCAAAAAAGTTCAGAGTTCGTGGAAATATGTAGCAGAACTAACCTATTTTGGGGGGTTTGAGAGGGGTACTTGATGGTTAATGTTATGTGTTAACTTGGCTAGGCTATGATTCTCTGTGGTTTGGCACTGGACTGGGTGCCCTTCCATAATGTAATCAGTAAAGTCCTGTGAAAGCCAGAACCTGTGTATGGTAGAAACCCGTCAGAGAAGAAAAACTCAAATATCCTCCACTGGGAGTGACAGAAAATTGGTAAGACTGCACTCTGTCAAAGATGGAAAACTTGCAAGAACCAGAAAAACAAGGCAGTCTCACAGGTTTCATTGTTTAATGTAATACGCTTCCTTTATGCTGATCTGATGTGATTAGCCAATCAGTTGAAAGGGAATTTCCCTTGGGGTATGGTCTGCCTCTAGTATATAAATGGATGTTCTGCAAAGCCCTCTCTCCCTCACTCTCCCTCCCTGCTTCCTCCTCCTCCTGCCTTTCCCTCTCTCTCAACCCTACACACTTCAAGGTTCTTCTGGCCACCTGACCTCTGGTTCTTGGGACATAAGCCTGCAGAAGTCTCAGGCTTACCACCTGACCTACAGATGTTGGACTCATCGGCCCCTGCAATCCTATGAGCCAGCAGAAATCTTTTGCCTCCTACCTGAACCACAGATTTGGGATTTGTCAGCTCTCACAATTGCATGAGCCATTTCCTCACAACTGTGCAGGCCATTTCCTTGAACTAAATCTCTCTGTATGTTTATATATACAAATATTTATATATTTATATACATATATACATGTATATATACATTTCACTGGTTTTGCTCCTCTAGAGAACTCAGACTAAGACAGGTATTCAGAGAAAAAGCCATCTAAACTAAAACCTGGAAAAATAGCAGGAATTCATCAGGGAAGCGAAAAAATAGGGGTGATGAGGTATGGGAGGGAGGAAGGCACAGAAGAGTGGTTGGTATGTTCAAGAAACTAAAAGAAGTCCAGTGGTGCTGAGGCATTCAGGGCTCTAGAGAAGAGTGAGAGCTGAGGCTTCAGAGGGCCAAGGGAAGGGGTTTTATCATTACCCTCAAGGCAACAGGAAGTTAAACAAGGAGACACACAATCATATATGCACACGGTCTTCCTGCCCAACACTGTGGCCAAGGTGCCCAACCTGCCTGGTCATCAGTATATGCCTGCTGGGAAAGAGTTTCTGGGCTCTTGTACCATAGATGCAAGATATAGTGAGTACCTGGTCCATCAGAAGAGCTAGAAACTAGGTAAGTACTTTTAGGAAATACATCCCATCACAACCACGTTCTGGAGTGCTTCATGACTTTGCATTGACAAAGTCGGAGAAACCACAGTCCTGCCCCACTCACAAAGGGAATAACCATTGGAAATTAGCCACTGGTCCCCTTCACTGCTCTTAAACCCAGAAGGTCCACTTCCAGGTCATTCAGCTGACACTACTTAAAAACGGGCTTCTGGCAACTTCAAAATGTTTAGACCTCCATCTAACCAAGTCTCCATATTCCTTGCTTTACTACTTACAGACATTGCTGTTGTTATTTGTTTCAATGTTTACAGCCTTGCCTCACCCTCCAGTTTGGAATTCTGGCTTTCCTTAAAGTAGTTTGTACTCATCACCTTAAAAGAGCTACTTTCAAGTAACATAGTCCAGCCCCAAGGATTCTGCTTTCTAATACAGGCTCCATAACCATGGAGATCCAGTCAGCTAGCTACTTTTAACAGATGATCAAACCAAAACCAAGCCCATTGCTGTCGAGTTGATTCTGACTCATGTGATCCCATGTGTTACATAGTAGAACTTCTCCATAGGGTTTTTTTTGGGGGGGGGGCGGGGCTGTAATCTTTACAGAAGCAGATTGCCAGTCCTTTCTTCTGCAGTCTCACTGGGTGGGTTCAAACCACCACATAAATTAGGTTAGTAGTTGAGTGTAAAGCACATGAAGAGTTAATAAAATCAAAACTCACAATAATTTACTCTCAGCCAAAATAGAATGTTACAAAGAAAATCTAAAAAAACAAAATTCCAGACTATCAAACTCCTGAAAATAGTGAATGACTACTGTCTGACTCTTGTAAAAAGTTATCTCATAGAACAAGCTGACCGAAAGGATGGAATGGGCTGATAACAGGACGTGGCTGACTAAACCCTATGACATCTTAAAGCCTGAGACAAAAAAATGAGGAATTAAGAAAGAAGGATAAAAAGGACCCTAACTGAGACAATTGCTGCTGGTCTCTCTAATGCAGAGAGTCAGCCCTTTTGCAAGTAAATTCTCCTTTTCTGTTTCTCTGGCCTAGTTCCTCTTGGCATTGGCAACCCAGCCTTACAACATATGCACCACCCAGGGACCTTGTCTTAGTTATCTAGTGCTGCTATAACAGATATACCATAAGTAGGTGGTTTTAACAAAGATTTATTTTCTCACAGTTTAGGAGACTAGAAGTCCAAATTCAGGAGTCCAGCTCTAGGGTAAGGCTTTCTTTCTCTGCAGGCTCTTGAGGAAGGTCCTTGTCTTCTCAGCTTCCCCTTCCTGTTTTTTTGGAGATCTTTATATGTCTTGTTTCTTGGCATCTACCTTACCCCATGTGATAGTTGGAGCTGTGTGTCAACTTGGCTGGACCACAATTCTGTGTAGTTTAAGCTGTTGTGATGTGATTATTCCCATGATGGGATCCAGTATATTCAAGGACAGCCTGGGAAGAGAGACATTCTTCTGTGGATCAGGATTCTGTTGTGCTGCCTACAACTGTCCGTGAGTGAACAGTCCAGTATTCGGCCTGGAGATCTTGGATTTGTCATTCGTTGGAGTCAACAGCCGGTGTACTGCCTGCCAGCCTTGAACTCCACAGCCCCTGTGGTTGCAAGAGTTGGGAAAAGCCTCCAGCTTGACGTGGAAAAGCTTCCAGCTTGATGTTTGATCCAGGAACTTTGGACTTGCCAGCTTCTATAAGTGTGCGAGCCATTTTCCTAAGGTAAATTTCTCTATATATACATATATATATAAGCTTTACTGGTTTTGTTTCTCTAGTGAACCCAGTCTAACACACCCCATCTCTGCTTCATAGTGTACATGTAATCTTTTTATATCTCAAAAGAGATTGACTCAAGACATACCCTATACTAATGCTGCCTCATTGACATAACGAAGATAACTCATTCCCAAATGAGATTATAACCACAGATACAGAGGTTAGGATTTATAACACATATTTTTGGGGGGCACATTTAATCCATAACAGACCTCTTTAACAGATAGTAAGGAGGAAAACGAGAAGGAGGAAAGGGAGGAGGAGAATAGCTAATATTTGTTGAGTTCTTACTCAATACCAGGCTGCCGTATGTATCATATACAGAAAAATAAAGCAATGGTAGTTAAATGGCGGTATATCAAAGCCACCTAGGTCTCTCACCTTACAACAGAGAACTGCTTTAGGAAAACATGGTCTTCCTCAAGACCATTAGTTAGAGTCCTACTGCCAAAGGAAATTCAAACACCACCACCCCCTTTGTCCCTCACCTTTACAGAACTTTGCCCAAATCATGCTCATGTTGCCCCTATTGGATACTAGAAATTAGACAAACAGGCATGTTGGTGCTCTCAAGCTTGATTCTACTTAGTCTGGACTTCTTCCTTCCCAATCAGCTCATCATAATTCATGACCAATCTCACCTAAATTATATTACCTGGTTATTTGGGTTGATGGAACAATTAGTTGGTTCACACCATATCAATTGGTTCCAGATGAATATATATATATGCTTGTTCAAACTATCAAATATAGTTATTTGTAGACATGGTTTATTGTTGTTGTTAGTTGCTATGAGTCAATTCTGACTGATGGCAACCCCATGTGTGCAGAGTAGAACTGCTCCATAGGGTTTTTAAGGCTGTGACCTTCAGAAGCAGATTACCAGACCTTACTTCCAAGGTGCCTCTGGGTAGGTTTGAACTGCCAAACTTTTGGTTAGTAGTCTGGTGTTTAACCATTTGTACCACCCAGGCACTCTAGACATAGTATAGGTGGAGACAATTGTGAAAAAGGACCAAGCAGATGAAAAGTAGGACAATATTAAAACCTATTGCTGTTATTTCTGACTAATAGCAACCCTATAGGGCAGAGCAGTAATCTTTACAGAAGCAGACTGCCATGTTTCTTCCATGAAGCAGCTAGTAGGTTTGAACCACCAACCTTTTGGTTAGCAGCTCAGCACTAACAGTCATTAGGCCACCAGGCTTTCTTGTAAGACAATATTAATAGTAGTAAATGATTAGAATACTACATTACTTTAAAATTAAGAATAAAGATACTTTACCAAGTCATCAAAAATATCCCTCTGATGCACATGGATGGTAATTAGCGTTTCAAATTTCACTCTATCAAACTTGGATAGATCATGTGTTGTTTGACTGATGAGAGTGTTCAGAATATCCAAAAATTTCTGATTGGTCACTTGCATGATTTTCCTGTCATCTTTTGCATTATTTAAAGCCTCTTCTGAGTCATGGGTCCACAACATCTGAATTCCCAGAAGCCCAACCTACAAATCCAAACAACAAATAAATTTGCCAAATATTTAAAGTCCATCTTCAAGAATATGTGGTGGCCACTTATCCACAAAGAGGCAAACCAAGTTTTATTAATTTAAAACTAAAAAGGAAACCTACATTTCTCTATCTGCAAGGGAGAAAAAACATTTAAACTTCTAACCATTAATATTTAATTATTTCAATGTTGATTTTTTAAAAAAATAATAATTAAAATAATGCCTACTCTTTATTTAACTATAAGTTTGTTATGGAAGATGCTTTGGAAAATTTTATGTAGAAACCAGAGATCTCTCCATGTATTTTTTTTTTTTTTTCCTTTCTCAAGGAAAACAAATGGAATTAACAGACTCTAAACTTCTATGTATTTTTCTTGAGCTGGATTTTCCAAAGGTCTCTTTGTATCTCCTAAAAATGATATGCTGCCTACCCTTTCTTGATTGCTCACTCTCTGTAATATCTATAGCTGCGTCCCACCCAATTTGTCTACAAGAGAGTAAGAAAAAGACAGAAAGGGAAAGGGAGAGAAGCTCATCGGTAGGTATCCTGAGGAAGGTGCAAATAAATTGTGAGTTGATGTCACCTTAGTCCTACAATTTCTGCTCCAGGAAAGGTAATAAAAGTACTCAGAACATGCCTCACCTTTACCTCCTTCCTGAAACAGCTGTCCTTTTGGGGGCCAAGCAACAGACTGAGAACCATTTGAACCAAAAAAGAATCCCACTTTGGCAGAAGACTGAAGATATACACATATTAACTAAAGAAAATCCTGAAAGTTAGTTAATTTTCTTATTATATTCTGTTGAACTTCTCCTCTGATCTAAACTTGATGCTCTCAAATCAGTTAATGTTACCTCCTCAGTCTAAACTAGATGGAGCCTCTCCTTCAGCTTACACAAGGTCAACCTTCCTTGAGAAAGAAAAAACATGTTGACTTAAAGAGCTATTCTCTCAACTTATCAAGTAGAGCATTGAATAAAGCTTTATCACAGGTAAATAATGCTAAATAAAGAAAATGAAAATAAAGTTTGTCAAGGATATTATACAATACAAAAACTCAAAATATTAAAACATTTCCAATAAAGGTTGACTTGCATAGTTTGAACAAGTAATTTGATATCATTTCGGCTGTCTCTTCTGTGTGTATAGTGATTCAGGATTTGTAAGAGCGGCAAGGGAAAGCAGTTGCAGTGAATGTTTCCCCTCGTCTTCTGGGGGAAGGGGTGGTTGGTGTAGCATGGTGAGGACCCACAGGTGTCTGGGACTTGAGTTTAAATGAGGCTGGATAGGCTACTCCAACTAATCCACAGCTACAATAGATTCCACATCATCAGGCCTAATGCCTCCTAAGCATCTGTCGTCTTTTTTTCCATTTCTTTTTATGCTTATTGAAAAATTGTGTATCTCACCTGTGCTGGAAAGTGATTTAGGAAGGGTAAGAGCTGAAATCCCGTATCACTGATTTGATAGAATGCAGATCTAATGATATTATGTAATGATGACATCTGCATTTTTAACAATTCCAGAAGCCAAATCTCCACGGGACCTTTCGCCATTACAGGATTATCCAACTAAAAACAATACATTACAAACGTATGGCAAAATAATTAGAATTTGATATTTTTACAGCTATCACACATTCAACACGATAAGTCATAGTACTTCAATGCAAAGCAAATAGTTTCACATTTTATACAAAATTTTTAAAACATAGGTTAAAATTATATAATAGTTCAGCTGGAAGGAATTATGAAGATTATCTAGTCTAAAACTTTCATTTTATAGACAATAAAATGAGTCTCAGAGAAGTTAAATGGTTTATCCAAGCTAGTTTGTGAAACAAAGCCAAAGCTACAGAACTAGAACCCAAGTCGCACCCTTTCCCCTCAAACTAACCCCCCCCCCATGCACACACACTTTTTTGGTGAGGGAACTGCTTTCTCAACCTAAATTTTTTTAAAAAATTTTAATATCAAAATTTCAACCAAGTTAGTTACCACAATTTTTTCTCCTTCTCTTGATATGACAGCCATGATACGATCGTAGTCTTTTGCATGAAATGTTACCTCATTTATGTTGTCAGATACTGCAGGGAGATGTGGCTATAAGAAGCACAAGACAGAACAAAAGCATCATACAGGAGACTAAACACAAAAGGTGCTGAGATACCTTTGTTGTTGTTGTTGTTGTTGTTATTTGCCATCGAGTCAGCCCCGACTCATAGCAACCCCTCCTTGGGTTTCCGAGGCAGTATCACTACGGAAGTAGGAATGCCCAACCAAGCCTCATTTTTTTTTTTTCTTTTATCTTGATAAACGATTAGTAATATGCTTCATTGGATCAAGAAAAAAATCATAACACAGACTCTACTTTGTCCCTTCACCAACTCGGAGGCCCCTCTTTAAAATCCAGCCCTGAAGAATGTTTTCTCCACGTCCTGAAGTGCCTCCTCTTAACCATGGGGTTCAAACCTGCCCGTGGCTCAGTAGAAGAAAAGACTGGTGATCTGCTTCCATAAAGATTCCAGCCTGGGAAACCCTATGGGACAGTTGTACTCTGTCCTATAGGGTCACTCTGAGTTGGAATCAACTCAATGGCAATAGGTTTGGTTTGGGTGCTTTTCTACATGGAAACTGAACCATACGTACTCCTACCCCCTTCCCTCCCAGATCTTCTTTCTTGGCTTGATCTCCACCTTTCATGGCTCTTACTTCCCTCGCATCTTTTCTCATCCCTATAACTCCCTGGAAACCAAGAAGTAAGATGACATTAGCCACTTCCTAGATTTCCAAACCAGAAACAGCCCCGGGATGGGTATTTTACTGCTTTCCATGCCCAGTTCCTACAGTCAGTTTCTCTTCTTTCTCCTGGAAATATTAGAAATGGCTAAAAATGACTTGAGAAGTATTCTGAGGGAATAAAGGACAAATCCAAACCAGAGAACTACTTAGCCTATTTAATCTAAAAATATTTAGACTAATAATATTCATAGGAACTCTCTCTGGTAGCGTAGTGCCTAAGGCACTTGAGTGCTAACCAGAAGGCTGGCAATTCAAACCCACCAGCCACTCCTTGGAAGGAAGGTTGGGCAATCTACTTCCATAGTGATACTGCCTCGGAAACCCAAAGAGGGGTCACTATGAGTCTGGTCCAACTCGACGGCACATAACAACCATAATATCCATAATATTGAATTACATTTAATAAACACATACTATGTGTACCAAAAACTTTGCTTTGCATTTTGCATTTTATATGAATTATCTCAGGAAATCCTCATGAAAATCATATGAAGAGGGGGTCATTAATATCCCAATGGTACAGATGAGGAAACTGAGGTACAGGGAAATTGAGAAGCTTGCCTAAGGTCATCTAGCTAGTGAATGGCATGACCACTGACTCCAGCTCACCAAACTGAATTCCCTCAAGTAGGTAGGCTCCAAGTACACAGGAAACAGACATTTTATAGTCAACATGATATTTTTAAAACACTTTAGTTTATTGTTGTTGTTGAGAATATACACAGCAAAACCTAACACCAATCCAAGAGTTTCTACATGTAGAGTTCAGTGACACTAATTACATTATTTGAGTTGTGCAACCATTCTCACCCTCTTTTTCTGTGTTATTCCTTCCCTATTAAAAGAAACTCACTACCCAAGTTTCCTATCAAATCTTCTAAGCTGCTGTTGTCAATTTGATCTCATATAGATAGACCTTAAAAGAGCATCCTGTTCAAGGCAGAAATTCTTTACTAGCTAGGCTAAACAACTCCTTGGTTTTAAGATGACTTCAGGGGATATTTTTGGTTTTGACATAATTTTTAATACTCTCCTTTCTACACTTTTAATGTTAACTGCATTTTTACTATTGATTACATATGCTAGTTGGAAAAAAAAAAGTATTTAGGACATAGATACTTAGAGTATACCTGTATGGTGTGGGAATCACTGGCTTGCCCAAGAATTTCCAGGAGAACTGGATCAGACACAAAGAAAAATCTTGGAAACAGTAATCGCTTCTTTTCCAAATACCTTAAAATAAAGTCAACAACACATGAACAAGTGATTTTTCTTCTGAGTTCTTTATTTTTTTATATATTTAGCCAAGTCACAATTACTAACATCTTCAATAACATAATAGTGAAATGAAGACTTCTGGTAAGATGGTGGAATAGGCAGATAAGCACCACAGCCCCTCTTCAACAAATAAAAGAGAAACTAATTGACAGAGATACAGAAGATAATCCTGGAGCCTAAGCTTTGAAAGGAACTATACAGAAGTGGATGAGGCATCAACTAGTGGAAAAACCTGAATGAAAACAGTGAGTACAGATTGGTTGGAACAGTGGTGTCAGCTACTCTGACAGGACCAACAGCCTGAATATTTCCAAGTGGTACTGGGACCTGAGAACTGACCTAAAGATCAACCCTGGTCACCAAGGGCTGCAAGGATGACTGCACTGGTGGCCTTTGATTAGGAAAGGAAACAACAATGAGGGAGACAACCTGAGTGGTGAACTTTCAGTTGTCCAAAGGGCACAACCATTTTGATTGTTTACACACAGCAGCCATTTTGGATATGTAAAGTGACTGAGTGCACAGCCATTTTGAATGTTTACAAGCAGCAGCCATTTTGGACTTTAAAGTGATAGCATTCTCATTTGGATTCCAGGGACCTAAGAATAGGCTCCATTTGCCAAGGACAGCAGGGTCATATGGGAGGCAGATAATGGGAAAAGAGACATGTGGTGAGTATATAAATGCTTCCAACTAGCAAATAGAGGAGCACACCATAGTACCCTGCTTACGTAGATAACATACAAAGAAAATGAAAATCGTGGGCAAGTCACTCCAACATACAATCACCAATTAAATATAAACACAAAAAAGTCACAATGTCTCAGAGACAACAGAGTATCACAGTCCACACAAAGAAGCAAGATAAATCAGGAGAAACAAGGGACCAGGATACAGACCCAAAACACATCCCTGAGGAAGATGCAGCATTGGAACTCCCTGATAAGGAATTCAAAAGAATTATATTTAGGTACCTTCAATGGATTGAGAGACAGATCAAGGAAAACACTGAAAAAAATGAAGAAAACACTGACAAAACTGAGGAAAACACAGACAAAATCCTAGAACAATTTTAAAAGACAATACAAGAATAAAATGACAAAATAAATGAAAAATTAGAAGTTATACAAAATCTATAGGCAGAAATCCAGAAGATTAATACTAAAGTTTCAGAAACAGATAACTCATTGAACAGGCCAAGGAGTAGAATTGAATCAATGGAAGACAGAATTAGTGAGATTGAAAGCAAATACCTCAATACTTCTTTGGAAAGTGAGTGTATACCTTTTCCTAATCAGAAAAAAGATCAAAACAAAACAAAGAGAGCCTAAGGTTCATGTGGGATACCATCAAAAGGAATAACCTATGTGTAATCAGAATTCTAGAACAGAAAGAGACTAATAAAACCACAGAAAAAATTGTCGGAAATTTGTTGGAAGAGAATTTTGCTGGTACAATGAAAGATAAGAATATATCTATTCAAGAAATCCAACAAACCCCAAACAGGATAGAACCCAAAAGAAAATCACCAAGACATATCATCACCAAACTCACCAAAACCAAAGACAAAGAAAGAATCCTAAAAGCAGCACAGGAAAAATAAGAAGTTACCTACAAGGGGCAAACCAATAAGAATAAGCTCAGATTTTTCAGCAGAAACCATGCAGGCGAGAAGACAATGGGATGATATATATAAAACCCTGAAAGAGAAAAATTTCCCACCAAGAATTACGTACCCAGCAAAATTGTCCCTCAATATGATGGTGAAATTAAGACTTCCAGAAAAGCAGAAATTAAGGGAATTTGTTAAAACCAGACCAACCTTACAAAAAATGCTAAAGGGAGTCCTTTGGACAAAGAACCAACAACAGTAAACAACAACTGACCATTAACACACATGATGACATAACTCAGAAATCAACCCAATTATAAAAGTATCCATAGTAAATAAGCCTACAAGATTGTAAACAGGGAACCAGAGACATCAATTTACAAATGAAGACAACTACAAACTAAAAAGAGGGAAAAACTGTGTGGTTACAGAACTTCTAAATGGTAGGGAAGTCAAAAGAACTACAAGATAGAATGGACTATTCTAAACTTGGGAAGAAATTATAAATCACAAGGTAACCTCAAAGAAAAATGATAAACTTTCACATCAAAATAAAAAAGAGGACCAGCACAAATATTTAGCAAATAGTAAAACAATAGCAATGAAGGAAGTGATAACACAATAAACAAAATGAGCTCAGCACAGAAAATTATATGGAACAAAGAAATCAATACCATGAAAAAGCATATAACAAAATGACAGCAACAAATCCATACTTGTTGATAATTACATATCTAAGAAGGGACTTTTCCCTAAAATTTATAGAAAACTCCAACACCTCAACAACAAACAAATTAAGAATCCAATTTAAAAATGGATAGAAGACATGAATGAACACTTCACCAAAGAAGATATTCAGGCAGCCAGCTAATACATGAAGAAATGCTCACCATCATTAGCCATCAGAGAGATACAAATCAAAGCAACAATGAGATACCATCTCACCCCAGCACTAGTGACAAAGTTCAACAAGACAGAAAATGGCAGATGCTGGCAAGGATGTGAAGAGATCCCAATCTCTTACATTTTATCTCTCATACACTGTTGGTGGGACTGTCAAATGATACAACCACTGTGGAAAATAGTATGGCAATTCCTTAAAAAGTTGGAATTAGAAATACCATTTGAACCAGCAATCCCATTACTAGGTATATGTCCGGAAGAAGTGAGAGCCAGGACAAGAACAGATATATGCATACCCATGTTAGGAGCTCTGGTAGCACAGTGCCTAAGGCACTTGACTGCTAACCAGAAGGCTTGCAGTTCAAACCCACCAGCCGCTCCTCGGAAGGAAGATGGGACAATCTATTTCCGTAGTGATACTGCCTCAGAAACCCAAGGAGGAGTCGCTATGAGTTGGGTCCAACTCGACGGCACATAATAACAACAACAACATGTTCATCACAGCACTATTTACAATAGCCAAAAGATGGAAACAACCTAGGTGCCCATCAACAGAAGAATGGATAACCAAACTGTGGTATATATGCACAATGGAATACTATGCAATCCTAAAGAATAATGTAGAAGCTGCAAAACACCGCATAATGTGGATGAACTTGGAGGACATTATGCTGAGTGAAAGAAGTCAATCACAGATGGACAAATATAGTATTAGTTCATTATTGTAAAAAGTCAAAGAAAAGTTTATATATAGAAGGGAATTTTCTTTGTTGGTTACCAGGGGTGGGAGGGGAGGGGAGGGAAAACTAAAAAAAAAAAAAATGCATTGACCCATGTCACTTTAGTTTTGTGTATTTCACTGTACATAAATTATATTTCAATAAAATGCATTTTGAAAAAAATAAACATTTTTTAAAAAATGATGATAGTGAAACACTAATTCATTTCCCTTTTGCCTCTGGAATGTTTGGTTAGAACCAGAGTCCATGCTTCATCACAGATGGCATTTGGGAAGATAAGTAAAAAAAACAGGAAGAGATTCAAAGCCTGGTTGCTCCATCATCTATTATCTTCTTTTTTCTCAACAAGAGGCCACTTATGACCCTTCTGAGAATATTGTGAATCTCATGGCTTAAGCCCTTAAAATGAACACATCTCCAAACTGGAACATTTTGAGAGTAAAAAGAGGCCAAATGACCATTAAGTCAGTATAGAAGGAAAGCTTGAACTGAACTGGGCAACCCAGGATATACTGTCACCCTATTTCAAATAGAAATTGAGAATGAACTGCCTTTTAAGAAAATCATCCATGATTTGTCTGTAAGGGTTCTCTTGGTGCACGTATACCTTACAGTGGTGAATGGTAGCTCCCAAAAGATATGTCCACACCCTATTCCTCAGAACCTACAGATGTGATCTTTTTTGGAAAAGGAATTTTTAAATGATGTAAGTAAGTTAAGGATCTTGAGATAGAGAGATCATCCTGGATTGTCCAGATGGGCCCTAAATACAATGACAAGAGACACACAGGGAGAGGAGGACTGGCGATGTAAAGATGGAGACAAAGATTGGAGTTATGCAGGCACAAGCCAAGGAATGCCTGAAGCCACCAGAAGGTAAGAGGAAAGGCATGGTACACATTCCTCCCTGAGACTGCTGAGGGAGCATGGCCCTGCTAACACCTTGATTTCCGATTTCTGGCCTCCTGAGCAATCAGAGAATAAATTTCTATTTTATTAAGCCACCCAGGTTGTGGTTATTTACTACAGCAGCCCTAGGAAATGAATGCAATGCCTTCACCCACCAACCTCCAAATCAAAGGTGGCTTTTTTTTTTCCCCAGAAAAATTAACTGTATATGAAATTTTAAATTCCTATCCCCACCTCCACCATCACAATCAAACTCAAAATGCAGCCAATAGTAGTAACTTGTTTGGGATAAAACACCATCATATATAAAATAATAAGTAATTTTAAAATTAAACTCTTACCCTGTAAGTGACTTCTGACATACTTCCAACTGTTCATGTAAATGAGGTAACAGTTGCCCCATGGTTTCATCTCCAACACAGCAACTAATCACATTGGGATTCTCATGAGCTCGCTGCATTATTTTTATCCATGATTTGTCAATATTCTGAAAACGTTTTGCTTCCTAAAAGCAAATCCATAGCCACTAAAGATTAGCATTTGGATAATAAGCTAAAGCAAAGTCTTCATTTTGGAATTTTCTAACAGTTCTTCGAATCACCTTCTATTAGTCTCGAACTACATATTTTTTTTTATTGTGATTTGGGTGAAAGTTTACAGAGAAAATTGGTTTTCCATTCAACAATTCATACACATTTGTTTTGTGACATTTACTGCAATCCCCACAGTGTAACAGCACTCTTCACACTTCCTCCGTATGTTTACCATTTCCCTTCTCCTTGTGTCCTACCCCTTCCTGCCTTCTTAGCTTTCTCCCTAGGCAAAAGCTGCCCTTTTAATCTATATGGTTGGTTGATTGTTCTGAGTGTATATCTTCCTAGTATTATTGTTCACTTTATGTTGTTGTTGTTATGTGCCGTTGAGTTGGACCCAACTCATAGCGACCTTGGGTTTCTGAGGCAGTATCACTATGGAAGTAGATTGCCCCATCTTCCTTCTGAGGAGTGGCTGGTGGGTTTCAATAGCCAGCCTTCTGGTTAGCAGTCAAGTGCCTTAGGCACTATGCTACCGAAGCTGGAAGTTGAGCTAGTGGGGTTAAGTTCAGTTCCTGGCTTGAAGGGTATCTAAGGGGCATAGTCTCAGGGGTTCTACCAGTCTTCATCAGACCAGTAAGACTGGTTTTTGTTTTGTTTTGTTTTGTTTTGTTTATAATTTTGTTCCACATTTTTCTCCCACTCTATTCAGGACCTTCTATCATAAGCCTTTTCAGAGCAGTCAGCAGTGGTAAACAGACTACATAATTTGAGAAGGCAATTTTTTTACATCCAAATTAATTTTGAACAACAAAGACCCAAAGTCACAAAACTGCTTATTGTAATATTGCTTTATCATAGTGGGGTTTATCATTTGTTTCCTTACATGTAACACCTTTTTCAAAGTGCCACATGATTAATATGCAGAGTTACCTACTTGAAGTACAAATCTAGTCTATCAACATCCAGGTGTTTTGATTTGATGAGCAAACTGAAGATGCACGAAAATAATTTGATTTCGGGATCCTTGAAATAATTACAGCTCAATCGTATCCCCCAAATCAAACCCATTGCTGTAGATTCTGACTCCCAGCAACCCTACAGGACAGAGTAAACTGCCTCATAGGGATTCCAAGTCTACAAATCTCTGCAGACGCTGATTTCCACTTCTTTCTCCCTTGAACAGGACCCCAGGGTGGGCTGGGGGAGGAAAACAGTAAAAATCTCAAACAAAAGCTCTGTTTGCATTTTGTAAATGAAGTTTCTATTTATAGTGGACGATAAGCTTTTCATTCAATTACAAAAATGCCTCTACAAATTGGCATAATCTGGCCTCTTAAAAAAATTCAACTTTCTGATTAAAAAACAAATTTTTTAGTTTTATGTTTTTAAAAGGTGTACAAAGGGAAATCAGCCATTTTCAAAACCACTTTTATCCTTGATTTTTATCTATAGAGGCCTTGTTTTTAGTATGGAAACTCAGTAAGAGCAGGCTTAACTTTATAGGAAGAAAGATACCTTCACTGTATAAAACTATTAGTTATTGGCATTTATTTAAAAGACCCTGTGGGGTAAATGACCCAGTTTTACCCTAAGTAAGGTGGCCTTTGTCCTTGACTTCAGAGAAATAATCTTTGGAATAACTGGGGTTGCCTTGGTCTGGGATTTCCAGGCTACATGAGAATTTGTACTGGGAGTGGGGGCTGGCCAGATCACAAAAGACTCACTTGGGAGGCTGCTATTAACTAGACTCAAGAGGAATGATTTAGGCTATCATGTAGGACTAGCCAATAAAAGCCTTAAACACTAAGGCTCAGTGAGGTTCCTGGTTGATAAGAACATCTGTTCTTAAGAAGGCAGAGTATCCCTCAGATATCACAACTTTGTGTTGGGAACCCTCCCAGACCTCACCCTTTGCATCTCTTTGTTTATATCCTTTTCTGGCTATAATAAATCTGTAGTCCTAAATCTGGTAACACTCTCCATGCATTCTGTGAGTCGTTGCAGGGGATTATAGAACCCAAAGGGGCAGCAGGAGCCAGTAGGTCAGAAAGTAAGGGTGTCATGTGGACTTCAGGATGTGGCTGGTATCCTGGAGGAGTAGTGGGAAAATAGCCCTGAACTTGTGGCTAGAGGTCAGAAGACTGAGGTGTCTTGTGGAATCTCCAAACTTGTACTGGCATCTGCCTATTTGGCAGTCTGAAGGATGGTGTCTTTTTAACTTGTGAGCTCTGACCTAGCTCCAGGTAGCTAGGCTCAAAAAGACAAGAGTGCCACAGGCACAGCTGGCAATAGGGATAGAGAAGCAGGAATGTGAGGACTATATGATCTCTGCATTTTGAGGACTGGATTCATGCCAATCCTTACCATCCAGGCCCCAATAGAGTTGTGTAAAAGTTTTGTTAAAGGCTTCTAAGGCTAAGTTTTCTTGTCTCACAGTATGTTTCTAATCTGCTATTATCAAATTTATTAAAAAGTAATTTGTGTTTGCAGGTTCCAAATTAATTTTAATAATACTCTCAGAGATTTAATGCAATATTAACTCACGGAAGTGATGAACTAATGTAATTTAATAGTACCATATTTTAATGTAGGAGCTCTAGTGGCATAGTGCCTAAGGCATCTGACTGCTAACCAGAAGGCTGGCAGTTCAAACCCACCAGCCACTCCACGGAAGGAAGACTGGGCAATCTACTTCTGTAGTGATACTGCCTCGGAAACCCAAGGAGGGGTTGCTATGAGTCACATCTGACTTGACGGTAGTGAGGTTTGTTTTTATATTTTAATGTACCTCATATCCTCAAACAATCTTAAGAGGATTCACTTTGAAAATGTGTTTCTTCTTTCTGCTAGTGTAAATTGGAGATTAACACTTTTATTTTTGCTTTTTTAAAATTTTCTCTGTAAAGGGTCAGATAATAAATATTTTAGGTTTTGCGGCCATATGGTATGTCACTCCTATTCAGCTCTGAAGTTATAGTGCAAAAGCAGCCTGTTGTTTTGTTGCTGCTGCGTGGATTCTCATGGCAATCCAGTCTTACTGTTATGTGCCATCAAGTCATCTCTGACTCACAGTGACCCCTCCTTGGGTTTCTGAGGCAGTACCTCTACGGAAGTAGATTGCCCAACCATCCTTCAAAGGAGTGGGTGGTGGGTTTGAACCGCCAAACTTCTGGCTAGCTGTAAAGTACCTTAGGCACTACACCACCAGAGCTCGACACACATAAATGGGCATGTCTCTTTTTCAATAAAACTTTACAAAAACAGGCACAAAGTTTGATTGAAGCCATAGCTCACCAAGTCCTGGTGTAAATAATCAAGATGTGACCATCTGTCTTTGTGAAGCTTTTTACAGAAATATACGGGGAGCACAAACCAAATTATTCTATCAGTAGTTATAAAAGCCATATTTACCTGAGGCAGTTGTTTGGCAATATCTCCACCAACAAAAACAGCTTCAAGATAAACCCAAAGATTCTGTACTACCAGCCATTCTTCAATTATATCTGAGGAAGTAGACAATTTGAACACCCAGTTCTGGATATTCTTTTTAAATGGAGCATTATATCTGAAAAATAAGAATGAGAAATATTATGTCTAGAGGAAGATTTAGAAAATAATATTGCTTAGAAAAGAAAATTAAAGAAGAAACAATCCCTTGGAAATGAGCATTTTTTTCCTGAAAGGGCAGTCTCTAGTAAAGCTCACACAGCTCTTGAGATTTTTGCTTCTTTATAAATAAAACTTACATAATTCCAGTTGATTCACTTGTTCCCTTATGCCAGTCATAGAATAGGAAAATAGGCCAAATTTTATGCCTGGGAAGTTCAGCACAGAATTGTGCTGGTTGCTTCTGGGAATAAAAAGAGAACAAGCAAAAGGATAGTTTTCCAAGACATCTGTGAACAAACTCCAAGTGAGGAGTACTTGTGAGAATAACACACAGGAAAACACTATTTGTTACTGGTCTGTGGAATTATTTAATCTAGGAAGAGAGACCAATATCCAGGAAATTTCCTTGTATGAATGGTCCTGCAGGCTTCATCAAGCCAGGAGATGGAGAATCTCTAAAGGAATGGTACACTTAAGAGCCCTAAAGGTCAAAGCAAAGAATACCAGAAAGATGTTTACTTGTGTTTAATTGACTATGCAAAGGCATTCAGTTGTGTGGATCATAACAAATTGTGGGTAACGTTGAGAAGAATGGGAATTCCAGAGCACTTAATTGTACTCATGAGGTACCTGAACATAGACCAAGAGGCTGTCATTCGAACAGAACAAGGGGATACGGCATGGTTTATAATCAGGAAGGGAGTGTGTCAGGGTTGTATCCTTTCACCATACTTACTCATTCTGTATGCTAAGCAAATAATCCAAGAAGCTGGACTATATGAAGAAGAACATGACATCAGGATTGGGGGATGGCTCATTAACAACCTGAGATACGCAGACAACACAACTTTGTTTGCTGAAAGTAATGATGACCTGGAGCACTTAATGAAGAAAATTAAAGACTTCAGTCTGCAGTATGGATTACACCTCAATATAAAGAAAACAAAAATCCTCATAACTGGATCAATAAGCAGCATCACGATAGATGGAGAAATGATTGAAATTGTCAAAGACTTTATATTGCTTGGTTCTACAATTAATGCCAAAAGATGTTTACTTGTGTTTTATTGACTATGCAAAGGCATTCGATTGTGTGGATCATGACAAATTATCGATAACATTGAGAAGAATGGGAATTCCCAAGCACTTGATTGTACTCATGAGGAATCTGTACCTTGACCAGGAGGCTGCTGTTCAAACATAACAAGGGGACACTACATGGTTTAAAATCAAGAAGGGAGTGCATCAGGGTTGTATCCTTTCTTC